ATCGTGGAAGCCTTCCCAAAGGTGCAAAATGCTATTCCAATTCTTGGTGCAACACAGCAAGTTTTAGATGGTGTTGAATTCTTCAAAGGACTTTGTACACCAAGAAGAAAGATTCAAGAGAAGGTAGTGGCTGGAGAAGATGTAGAAAGCATCAAAGAGGACATAGTTGAAACCACAAAACCCAAAGAAGTTGAATTTGATGACATTGGACAAGTCATAACCATCACATGCAATCTGGCCAAGTCCAATATCCCTGAAACTTTCAAAGGAGTGGTGTTTGTCATTGAGTTCTTGTCGAACAAAACAAGTAAGTCATCTTTTCCAAATTCCATTACATTTTATACTAACTGGCTGATTTTGATGAATCAGGCACCTACACTAGAATTCAAACCAATGCCGGTTCACTTCAAGTATCACCTTCCATTCAAGGATCAATTCCATGCTATGGGACCTAGGGAAGTTTGAATGGAGGTTTCGTCCGGCTGGAAGACGGTAAAGCAAGCGCTTCGTGGGAGGCAACCCATGCAATCAACAAAGGAAGAACTTGGGAATCGCTCCACACTCAGATTTGCGTCCCTAAACCCTTTCCTTTGTTGCTTACTTTATGTTATGTGTATTGTGTTTTTAATTGTGTCTAAAACATTGAGGACAATGTTTAGTTTAAGTGTGGGGGGTAACATTATGTTTTGAGATATTTGTGCATGAAATTCGTAGGGTATTACCATCTCACATGTCTAAACTTGTTCTTTGCTGTTTTTAAGTGTTTTTAAGCTATTTTAGAGTGTGTTGATTTAAAAATCCGAAAATACCATAAAAATTTGAAAAATTGTTTTGAAAAACCCAAAAAGAGTTGTTTTTGTATGTTTGTTTGTGTCGTAGGTCACCTTCCAACACAATGATGAGGATTTGGTTTTTAATTGCATGATGGTTAAAGAAAGTTACAAACATGGATGGACGTTTGATATACTCTTGGTTTATGCTTGTTTGTAGTTATAGTTTACGAATTCACATGTAATCACAAATGATAAAAAATTAGTTTTTGTAACATGCTTGAAGGAAGGAACTTAAACAAACGCTACATCCCTGTGAGACTTGAGCCTAAACGTTATTTGGAGAGTTATAATCTTTGCATCATTGTTTTCTAAGTCGTTGCATGATCTCATTATTCTTTGCTTGGTTACTACTTAGAAGGCGTTTCATCACTTAGTTCCAAATGCTAGAACTCATGCCCATTTCATTCAAAGCATGTCATTGATTTGCATAACACGTATTCAAGATGAAGTTGTGTAGTGAACACCATAGCCAAATTGCCATATTTCCCTTTTCATTTGTTTTGTAGGATTTAACCCCGTTGAGCCTTGTGTAGCCTATGTTTTTTTTTGTTAACTCACATTATCCTCACCTAGCCTAGATTAGGACCATCCTTACCCTTGTTCTTGAAGCATAGTAAGCATGAATGAATTCCCTTTGATTAATGTGTTGCAGGAAATAAGTGTGGGGGAATGATTATTGATGTGAGTTTATGTGCCATAGGCATGGCTAGAAAAAAAAAAAGAAAAAAAAAAAAAAAAAAAAAAGAGAAAAGAAAAAAAAAAATTGATGAAAGAAAAAAATTGAAAAGTATTGGTTGTTGAAGTAAGGGCCCAAAACAATGAATTAGGCCCTAAGAGTTGTTTGAGTTTCCCCTATTTGTCTAAAAGTTGATTTTTGCATTCTAAGGGAATTCTAGGTCTTAATTTCATTACTTTACTTATTATTGCTTAAAGAACGTTTGTTTATCCTCACCTTCCCTTGTTAGCCAAAACCCCAAGCCCCGTTACAACCCTTGACTTCTATCTTGAGTGTTGTGCATTTCAATTGTGGAGTTTGAATTTGGTATGAGCATATGGTGTCACTGGTTCTCGCATCTAAGTAGTAGCATTCCATTCATGAGATCATATCCAAACACGTTTAATTACTCTAGAAATTGTTTTCTTTGTTATAACATATGTGAGTACTAGTCTTTCATGTTACATCAATCTGCTCACATATAACTAGTGTAGGGTGTGTAGTCAGAAAATCTGAGTGAAAATTGAATGCATAACTAATGAGGAATTGAGGGAATTCTCTAAGGCATGTTACTACATTCCAAATATGTTTTAATTGATTAAATGCGAACTAGTGAATGGTGACTATGATTAAGTATGTGCTTAAGGGGAAGTAAGACTAAAAGTTATGTGCGTAATGATTTTTGACATGTCAAGTTTCATTGGAAATCCCTGAGGCAAACGTTGGAAGATTTAGGTTATGTTTTGTTTGTTTTGTTTCGTATTGTTTACTTTAGTTGTTTTGTTTTGCTCGAGGACTAGCAAAAGTTAAGTGTGGGGGAATTTGATAGGAGCATATTCATGCGACTTAATTAGCTTGTTCTCGTGCATTTATGTTGTGTTTACTTATCTATTTCAGTGTTTAAGGCCACTTTTGTGTATTTTCAGATTATAAGGCCAAAGTGTGCAAGAAGATGCAAATTGGAGTCTTTTGGAGCGAAAGAGGAATGAATGAGTTGAAGACTTGAAGAAACGACGAATTCCTACGCCAACGATGAATTCTTACCAAAACGAAGAATCCTACTCAAATAAGGCTTCCTATTTTAGGAAAGTTGACCCTAAGTTTCCCGTTTTGGTAACCTTTCCTAATCTTAAACGTCCGCATTTTCTAGCCACTTTGATGTCCTTGTAGGCGCTTTAGGACACAAAACGAAGGCCCTAGGGCCCTTAACACCCAATGCCGTGGGCTTTAGCCCAAGTCCTTTCCCTTGCCGTGCAAGGGGGGGCATTTTAGGCCCAAATCCATGCATTAAACCCTAAACCCTAATCACCCTAATTACCTTGCAGCCATCCCTTTTATTTTCTGATTTTATTTCCTAGTTCTAGAAGCTTTTAACTTAATTTTAATTAACCAACATAAATTAGGTTTTATTTTCTGAAACCCTACATATTTTATAACCCTAGCCGCACCTCTCACCCTAATTCATTCATACACCATAATCAGCCACCATTCTCTCCTATTACTCCCCAAAAACCGTGCATACACATTCAGCCACCATAAACTTAAAATCCCATAAAACAGCCGCAAGACCCCCATTCATTGAATATAATTCCCAAGCCGTGCATTCCATAAACATGCATCCTAATTCTCATTAATCCCACCATTCCATTTCAGCCGTGGCCCCCCCCCCCCCCCCATTTATCAAAAACCCTAATAAACCATATAAAAATTCCCACCTTTGCCGTGCATTTGATCACCCAAAAAACATCCAGCCGCATATCCCATTCATTCCATATTTTTTAATTCAGCCATTCTCACACATATTCATTGATTCTAAGCCGTCACCCCCCCTCTCCCATTCTACACTTGACCCTAACACAAACCAGCCACCATACTTCCATTCTCTAAAACAGCCGCAGCAACCTGCACCCATTTTTCTTCTCTGCCGCCAATCACCATCCATTCCAGCATCACCATCCATTCCAGCATCACCTTCTCAGCCGCACTTTGTTCTCCCTGCCACTCCCCAAGCCGTCACACACATCCACCCTATTTTTCCCTTAACAGCCGCCATTTTTCCTCCCAAAACAGTGCAGCCACCATTCCACACCTTCCTACACCATCTCTGCCGCAGCAAGGAGAAGAGGAAAGATTAGCTTCGACGCGCACCAATTCACGTGGATTCGTTGGGCGTTCTAGGTGTAATCAATCCTTTGTGCTTTATGTTAAATTCATTTGTAATTCTCTTTTTGTGGACATGAGAGGCTAAATCCCCCTAGTTAGCTAGGGGGTGATTCGAAACCATGTTTATGCTTGCAATATGAATTGATTACTTTTGGTTGGAATTTCATAAGTTGTGGATTCAATTCGTTCATCTATTTGATTGATAACTTATTTGTGTATGTTGATTGAGAGTGCACGCTTAGTTTTCATGCATGAATATTATGCTAGATTATGAGGGAGTTTCACCTAATAGTTACAATCTTATAATCGCAAGTAGTGAAGGTCGCTTGAAAACGATCGCGTTGAATGAATTCTTAGCATAAGTTTCATGCAATTCATAGTAACAAATGCTTCGTCAATGCTTATGTTTTTCATAGAACTTAATGATTCTTGCTTGTATCTCTATTATGCAATTCATGTAGGGAACTTGTAGGGAATGTTTTGGGTTGTCGTATGCAATCATCCAACTTAATAACTTGTGGAAAAACTGAGGATTAATTAGTGCAATTCACGGTTAATTTGGAGTGTTGAGTTTCATAATTTATCGAAAGACCAACTGAAAATCAAAGTGTATGCAAGTGTAACATGTGTGGAGAAGAACCTTCTAGCTAGCATTCATTCCATATTTCATCACATTCATATTTAAATTCTGCCTTTAAATTACAATTTGTGCATTTAATTTATTTTCGTCAAAACCTCAATCCCCCTTTACCTTAGTGTCTAATTTAGTTAGAAAGTGTCTTAATTTGTGTTTATAAGTATTTTGTATTCTTTGAGTCTTTTGGTTTGTTTTAGTGTTTTATTGTTTAGTTTTGCATTCTTTGAGTCTAGTTTAGTGTTTTTAACGTTTGTTTTACGTTTTTGAGTCAGTGTCCAAGTGATTTAGTAATCCCTCCCAATCCCCGGTCTAGAACGATCCCTACTTGCATCTTTACTACAATTGTCACAAGAGGGTTTTAATTTGTGTGCTTACTTAGTTAGCATCAATATGACACGATACGACACGGGGACATGTCAAATTTCTAAAAATGAAGACACGATACGTCAAGGATACGGCAATTAAAAATATATATAAATAAATAAATATATCTAAAATATTATAAAATAAACATTCAAATTTATTACTCAAGTTTAAATTTATTTCAATAAACTCCTAACAGTTAGAAAGATAGTCCATCCAACAAGCAATTAGTCTTCAAACTTGAAAAATTAAAATGAAAATCCAAACGAAAATTAAAAAAAGCAAAGTCTCATTCAACTTCCACATTCATGATGTCTCCTCCAGTAACTAAAGTAGTCTCCAATGACGGTTCATCAAGTGAAAGGTTAGCTATTTCAAGCATCCCGACACTTTCTTCACCCAAGTTTTCAAAGCCATCTCCTCCAACATCCCACAATTGGGTAATACCTTCCTTGTAGGTTGAGCTATTCCTTGATAAAAGACGAAGATTATTATGCACAAATACCAAATCCTCAGCTCTTTGTGGTGTAATCTTGTTCCTTCTTAAAGAATGAATAAAACTATAAGTGCTCCAATTTCTTTCACAACAAGAGGAGGAACAAGGTTGTCCAAGTAGCTTCAACGCTATGGATTGGAGACTAGGTGTAGAAGCTCCATGGACAATCCACCACATCACTGGTTCCAAATGAAATCTATCATTCATAGAATCAATAGCTCCAAAGTCATTCAAGCACATAGAGAAAGAGGCATACTCCACATTGATATTTCTTCTAATTTCCTCATTGGAAAAGTATCTCTCAAAGCACTTTTTCCTTTCAATTGTAAGTTCACCATCTCGGTGTGGAGCAAGACGACTAGGGTCTTCTTGGAGCCATTCTGAACTATAATACCTAAAATAAAAGAAATAACAGTTTAAAAATGTACTCATAAAGCTAAAAATTAATCTAGAAGAATTTATAAGTAAGTTAGCAAAATCATTACCTCGGATTTAATGAATGTGCCAAACAATGAAGTGGTGTGCTACTTTTAATCCATCGCTCCAATAAAATGCGATACACCGCATCAAAAAAGCTGCTTTTTTCATGTAATGCCTTGCGCTCATTCCTGTATATAGCAGCTTTCACCTTTTCAATCATAGCATCCCACCACTCATACACCAAGTGAAGACAATGTTTATCTGTGTCAGCCATTCTAATAACCTCATATATTGGAGCTGTAAAGAAAAGAATATAATCAATCTTCTCCCAAAAATCCTCATCCAATATCTTTTGCTTCACCATCATTGCTTTAACCAAATCATCTTCTTTGTACAAAGCCCAATTCAGGCTAATCACCATTTGTTGTAAACATTCCTTTATTTCCTTCAATCTTCTAAGCATCACAAGTGTGGAAGCAAATCTGAAAAATTTAAAAATTAGGACAACTTATAATTAAATAAGGAAAAAAAAAAGTGGAGAAAACAAACCTTGTTTCGGCAATGGAAAGTAACTTTAGTTTGCAATGTTCATTAAACATGGACAATCTCATGCTATGGTTCATAATAAAATTTTTTATGGACCAAGCATCACTAGCAATAGTTGAAATTCAATTGCAGTCATCATAGGAAACTTCTGTTTGTTTCGGAGTACATATACTCTTCAAAGCAAGATTAAGAGTGTGAACAACACAGGGTGTCCAAAAAATATGGGGATAGTGGGCCTCAATAAGTAACCCAGCAGCTTTACAAATAGGGGCATTATCAGTGATCACTTGAACAACATTTTCATGACCAATTTCTTTAATAGCTTCTGTAAGAAAGTTGGCAATACAATGCTTGTCTTTGTATTCACCTTCACAATTAATTGCTCTCAAGAACATTGGCCCACTTTCACAAGCTGCCATAATATTAATAAGTGGTCTCCTTTGAGCATCTGTCCACCCATCACTGCAAACACTTACACCTTTAGTGCTCCATGTGCGCTTGATTGGTTGGAGGCACCGCTCAATGTGACTCTTCTCTTGTTGCAGAAGAGTAGTTCTCAGTGCATTGTAACCTCGTGGAACATACCCTGGAAGTGTAGAAGCACGAACATATGAGTTCCGATAGTGCGGATTTCTTGCAAGGTTAAATGATAAGCCACCTGTATAAAACATCCTTGCAACTTCGGCATCACATTGATCTCGAGCCTCCTTGTTAAAAGCTTTACTGAGAGGCCCACTTGTTCCCTTTCTCTTCTTTGGATCAAGATTTGCTTCAGGTAGATCATAACAGAATGAACCAGTATTGGGCAACGAAACATGTTTTGGAGCAGAACTCTTCAACTTGTATTCACACTCTTGAACTAACTTATTCATTTCCGCAAGAGTTTCATCAGTAACCTTGTTGCAAGGCGCGATCCCATTTCCAGACATTTTTAACAAATGAAACTTGACCCTAGAGTAGGATCCTTTATAAGTTTTTTGACAATAATTGCACTCAAATTTAGTATTTCCTCATCCTCTATTTCCCACTTTTTCGAGCTTTTTGACATACTTCCACAGCGGAGCATTATAATTTTCAACAATCTCATCCAGATTAGCATTATCATTCACATGATTATCAGGGTGATTCATTTTCCTAAATTAACAAACATATAAACAATAAAAGTCAATTCATCGTACAATTGTATAGACAAAGACTAATACATGAAAAATTTATATTAACTTAAGAAATAAAAAATGCATCATGAAAGCATATACATAAAATATTATAATCTAAATATCTAGAACACTGTATTCCCAATTTACATAACAGATTAAGCTAAATATCATGAAAGTACAATAATATCTAGAACAATGTATTATAATCTAAATATCATGAAAAGCTATTCCAATAGAAAACTGTTGGCGTAAGGCTGGAATCCAATAATAATATTATATACAAAAAGCAAAAGGCCCTTTTCCAATCAACACTCATTGAATCAGTCAAAGGCTCAAAGCAAAAGCCTTTTAGCTTCGAAATTAAAAACAGTCCTTTCAGCTGCTTTTGCTTCGAAATTAAAAACAGGAAAGCAAGCTTTCCTTTCAGCTGCTTTTGCTTCGAAATTAAAAACAATTTCAGCTGCTTTTGCTTCGAAATTAAAAACAATTAAAAACAGGAAAGCAAGCTTTCTTTTCAGCTGCTTTTGCTTCGAAATTAAAAATAGGAAAGCAAGCTTTCCTTTCACCTTCAAAAGCCTTTTAGCTTCGAAATTAAAAACAGGAAAGCAAGCTTTCCTTTCACCTTCAAAAGCCTTTTAGCTTCGAAATTAAAAACAGGAAAACAAGCTTTCCTTTCAGCTGCAGAGATGGGTTCTGCTTCTGGGAATCAGATTGAGCTTCAAAATTAACATAGTGAAAACGAAGTCGAAAGCTCTTACCAACAGTTGCAGACGGAGACTACGGAGACGACGAAGCAGTTGGACGGAGACGACGGAGCAGTTGCAGACGACAAGTCTGATTTTTGAATTATGAGGTTTGAGTGAAGAAAAATAGGTAAATCATTATTTTATACCCAAAATCGTTTTGGTTTTAGCCAAACAATCGTTTCAGTTTAGCTAATTGGAATCAATCACGATTCTGTGCGGATTTCTTGATTTATTTTTTATTTTTTTTCTTCTGATTATCCTCTGATTTAGTTGAAAACGTATCCGAAAAGTGTGATACGCGTATCTCGACAGTATGATACGCGTATCTCATCAATAAACAACGTATCCATTCATTCCGATACGTATCGGGCTCGTATCCACACGTATCCTATGTGTATCCGTATCCCTGCGTGTCAGATACGGGATACGATGGCTGTGACCCGTGTCCATGCATCTTAGGTTTATGTATTTTGTAAAACGACTTATGTATCGTTGAACTTAATAGGTTCTAATTATATAACCAGAGGCTTTGATATCTTGTTAGCCTTATAAGGTTATACAATTAAAACACAAATGAATGATTGACTGACCTAATTCCAACGGCGGCCATGGAAGTTGAACACAAAAGTAGCAGCGCATAGCAACACCAAGATCTTCTATAAACTCCTAGCCGAATACAACTACTCTATGGGAAGCATTATGTTGTGTGTTCTAGGGCTTATATGCACCAGTGTTTTTATATATAGGCTAAAAGCTAGGGTTTTCATCCCAAAAGGAAACCTCAACTCTACTTTCTTAGCCTCCAAGTCAAGTATCATAATCATATTCAATTGAGGATTCCATCAATCCTATTGCCAATATAAGACACCTTATATAGGATTGATATCTTTAAGAGATCAAATCACAATCAATATTATTCTCCAATATTACATTCCTATTACATGTAGTAGACCACTTAAAGGTTGATTGATATTGGATAAATCCAACCGTTTATCGTCTGACCTTTTCACCTAAACCAATTTCGATCAGAAAAAATTAAGATAATTTATGATACTTTCGTGTTTAGAATGAGTCTCCATGCTAAAACAACTTCATGGCATTTTTTTTGACGTCGTGGTACACAGAGAAGTTGGCTATGAAGATCTTAGCAAGTGCATCAAAACTACAAATCGAGCAAGAAGGCAACTCTGAATACCATCTCATAGCGTTTCGATAAAAAGCTCAAATCCATCACATGCGTATGACTGAAGATTCAATTTTCAAGTTGTTTTGTACGTAAGTTCAGATTAAGAGTTTTCGTAGTATCCAGAAGGAAAGTTTTCACTGACTGGCCGTTCAGGGTTGAAGTACTCAGAAGTCCAAATCCAGAGACCGAAATTTGAGTTTGCAGAGAGAATCTGCGAGCGTTCTCCAGGGCCTTCATCTGCTTCTCAAAATCAATAAAGTTTGAACGGTTCTCCTCATGAGAAGCCTTTGAAGTCTCTTAGATATCATCAATAGTCGTGCTGATATTCCTCACACTACTACGAAACCATTTATTAGTGTCGCTATGATAACTGATAAGAAACGTATATTACTGTCGGATTTTAAGCAAATCCGACAGAAAATAGATGCAGTGGCGGATATAATAAGCGACAGAATTGCCAGTGTCAGGACATGAATTTTCAGACAGAAAACACTCTAAAACCAACAGAACTTGTGTCAGATATAACCGACAAAAAATAATTAATAATGAATAAATAAAAGCATTCTCTGTCGGTTCAAACTGACAAAACTTGTGTCGGATATAACCGACAGAAAATATATTAATAATGAATAAATAAAAGAATTTTTGCCAGCTAAAACCGACATAAAATATATTAATAAAAAAAAAAGATACGACCCATTGCAAATAGAACATTGCCACTGTTCTTATTGATGAAAGACAAAAATCATCCAAAAAGCACAAATTGAATATCCATTGCTCCGTCAAACGAAAATTCCAATCAAGTTCATATCATAAAACGTAGTTCAAATTCTGCAACAAATTTGGGAAAAGAAAGAACGACAATCCGGGAAGTTTAAATCTAATTCCTTTCAACAAGTAACAACTTCCTTAAATGCCTAAGATTGTTGCCTAATTGAGAACTTTCTTGGTCTCTCTCAGAATCCTTTCTCTAGCTTAATAGAAAAAGTAAAAAGATATCAGCCCTTAATCTTCTGCGAGCAAACATAGCCTAGCAAAATTTTCTGATAATCAAACTCCAAAAAACAGAGCAAGCGTCCAGATTGTAGTATAGCTTCCTAATCTATTTCAATTGCAAGAAAAGTTTGGAATTGTGACAAAATTGGCCACGAAACCAAAATTAAAACCCTCAAAATCCAATAATTTTACATAAATTTTACACAATTGAGAGAAGAAAAGCAAAAAGCCCTAAAATTAGAATCAACAGATCTGAGAAAAACCGTAACAAAGAAGTCGCAATAAACACACAGGTATAAAGCTATAAAGCATAATTGGAATAGAAGAAAAGTAAGATAGAAAGAAGCATTAGGGAAGCAGACGTACGTGAAGGAGCATAAGCGAGGGCTCAACCTTGCGCCTGTCGTCTTCGCTCTCGTCTTTTAAGAAGTCAAAGAATCGCGGAGCCAAGAACTCGTACGTATCGTTGACGATCATCCCCGTTGCTGTCGAAGCCGATGCATTGGGTTATTGGTCGATCATTTCCTTGTTTTTGAAAACTTGTTTGGGGTTGGGGATTTCAGAGGAGGAATTGGAAAGATCTGGAAGATTAATGAAGAAATGAATAGAGAATAATGAATAAATGAAAGAGAAAGAGGGAAAGAGAGTGTCTGAGTGGGTGCGAGCCAGGGGGATTAGAGTATAAAACCGACAGAAATATTTTTTTTTAAATAAAATCCTATAGAAAATTTTCATTACTGTTGGTTATAACTAACAAAAAAAAAAAAATAGCGGCAAAAATCCCCCCAAAATTTTAAATTCCCTCTCCCAAAATTTTAAATCCCTCCCCCCCCCCCAAAAAAATTTTGTTACGATTTTAAAAAATAAAATAATAATTGTTTGGTTTAATAAATAAATAAATAATATGTATTTAAATAGGATACGTTTTTAAAAATTAAATAAATAATTGTTTGGTTTAATAGATAATAACCCATGTAAAATATGCGATAAGGAAACAAAAAGATAATTGTACAATGAAAATACCATCACACAAACTAAATATTGTCTAATCAATACTTGAAAAACATAAATAAAAATTTAACACAAATTACTTTTCCCACTTCTAAATTTAGGCAAATTTAACGGGGATATGCATTTTACAAAACTAGGTTCCATGATCTAACCGTCAAACTTGTTTGTAGATACTATAAGATCGCATACGTAAAAAATCGTGAAAAAAAAAAACATTCAGAGATTAGGTAATGGAACAAAAGTTTTCGACGGTTATAAACGAAAAATTACAATTTAACGGTTATTTTAGCTCTGGTTTTGATGATTTTTTTACAATTACACTCCTCGACCCTATAAGAATGCAATGAACAAATTTGATCTTCAATTTAAAATATTTACATTAGTGGATACCACAAAATCTCATTTTATACTTAATGGAAGTATAATATTAACTCAAGTATTTGTTTAATCTACTGTTTTGACAAGACATGCATTCTTCAAAACTTTTTTCAACGATCCGACCATCAAACTTATTTGTACACACTTCAAGATTGCATTCGTAAAAAATCGTGCAAAAAAAACATTAAGAGATTATGTAACAGAACAAAAGTTTTCGACAATTATAAACGAAAAATCACAATTTAACGGTTATTTTAACTCCGATTTTAATGATTTTTTACAGCTACACTCCTCGACCCTATAAGAATGCAATGAATAAATTTGATCTTCAATTTAAAATATTTACACTTGTGGATGCCACAAAATCTTATTTTATACTTAATGGAAGTATAACATTAACTCTTTAAGTGTTTATTTAATCTACCGTTTTGATGTAATACACAATAGAGGTGCCA